CTATCGTAACCAATGGTTGGAGACTCTGTGTGACATGGTTGAGAATCGATCACAATGGCGTAGGTGTATACATTCTTTGTCTTCCCTTAAACTAAGAGATTAAACTGGCTTCATATCTTTCTTTCTACCAACTAATTATTTCTTCCTGTACTATATCCTTATATGCAATCTTTCTTTTATATATTACCACCATTGAATTAACTGCTTCTATTAATCCGGTGTTGATCTTGTTGTGCTAATGAGGTATGTCAACTTGGATGGATGCACATATATGTCTTGTCCGTTGTAGCTGACTGATTGCTCGAAAAACACGACCCATCAACCGAGACTCCTTTCGATATTCTATCATTAATTCGAGTGTTATTAGCTACAGATCATTTCACTTATATCAGACTTTTCGTTGATAGTTACTCAGAAGAGTTGAAACAATTTCCCATAGTTACTAAATTGAACTGTTGAATCTGATTCTTTTAGTACGCATCAATTTCTCAAGGTAATTTCAACAAGTTATTTATTTAAGATATAATTTAAAAATCGAATCAAACCAATGAAATCGTCTTTTCGATAATGAAATTATACTTTTATTTAACATATTACATACAGTAACTTTAGTATTATTACTATTATTATCAATAATATTACAAATCATACTGTTAGTAATAATAAAAACAAAATGATCAATACAAATTTATAATCAATAAATGAATGTACCGGTAAAAAAAAGAGAAAAGGAACAACACCATCAATAATAATAGTAATAATGATACAAAATGACTTTACTTCATTATTACTAATCTATTGATGATGATGATGAGGTCTACATAAAATCAAGTCGAATTAATTAATAATAAACATCTAAATCAATAACTGATTATATGTGTTGATGTGCAATTTTGTATGTATATGTGTGTGATTGAAAAATAAAGGATAAAATTGAAGGCAAATTCTATTTGTACATAAAAACCCATACCCACTAATATAAATAGTTATGCGTGATTAGTAAGATAATAATAATAATAATATTATAATATACCTAAGATTATTGTAAGCAAAATAATAATAAAGGTCATTTCACATACATAGGATAGTATTGTATATATTTATAACATGAACTATCTGTCTGAATGAAATCAGAATAAACAAATTTAGACAATAATCCTACAGAAAAAAAAATTATGTAACTGGGGGGGGAAAGGTTTGTTTTTTAAGTAATAAAAAAAAAGTTAACTATATAACTCGGGTTGGTTAGTGATTATTATTGAAAATAAATAACCACTATTGAATAGGCACAAATAAGTCATATATAACGAGAACAGAATCGATTATTTGGTAGAACCATTCCTTCTCCCCCCCCTCTCCACAATAAAAAAGAGGAAGGGAAAGTTGGACATTAAACTGATCAAGAAGAAATCAATTACATGTATCATTCAGGAATAAGAAAATGAATCGAAATATATATATAAAGGAAGAAAAAGAAGACAAAATCCTTGATATATAGTAATAGTTTGTGAATTCAATTATATTATAGAGGCATAGTGACAAATAAATGAATATGATTCGTGTTGTATTAACATGAATATTCTAAACAACAACAACAACAACGACAACAAAAAAACCCAGTGATACACAATTTGTACCCTGGTTAATTTTTAATTTGTCCATTTGTATCAATCAGTGGAGATAAATTATTATCTATAGGAATTGTTGAATTAATAAATGAATGACATTTACCACCATTAGTTAGACTATTCATAACATTATCACACATGATATCTTGTGCTTCAATATCTTTCACTGGAATACATTGTTCAATCGGTTTACCTTTATTATTATCATGATGATTATTTGCAGATGGATACAATCGACGAACGGGGAATTCTAAGAAAAGAGTAAAACCAGCGCATAGAAGAATAACACCACATATTCTTAATGACCAAACAAATGTACCCGTAAAATCAGCAACAAAACCTATAAGAAAAGATTCATTCATTAATCTTTAAAAATAATTTTTTTTTAAATCGAAAAATTATCAATCTATCTGGATACAACAACTGATATACCAAAATAAACAAATAACTAGGGGTGTTCAGTGTACACATTTTGAGTTTGTTCAAAATGCTGGAAAGTATAATGTTTAACCAATATATGGGCACTATTGTATTTCAGCCACAAAATACCCTGGTACAGCCAAGGGTGAAAAGAGTCAGCTCTCCCTCTCCAAATGCTCTCACATGGCCATGTGCATAGAACCTTTAACAGGGAAGTCCAAATCACTGCCTTCTCGTGGCAGGGGTGTTGATTAATAAAATGTGAGGACGAAAAGTAAATGTCTGTGGCTTTAACCGGGTTGGTGGACATGGAGAGTTCACTAAGGGGCGTTGGGAAACCCCTAATCCAAACCAATGGTGCACATAGGCTCCAGGATCCTAAGGAAACAAATGACGTATGAACCAATTATTGGTCACCGACTAACATGGGACTGCATCTTCTGACGTTGTACCACTGCCTTGTGGATCAGACCTTTAGGTCGAAAGCTCCGGGTGTAGCACCCTAAGAAAACCACCTGTTTCAGTTTGGGCATCTGGGCAGTATCCCAGCCCTCAAACAAATCGAATAATTTATGTGGCGCATATCTATTCTATGCCTTCTTGGACAAATGTTAATGTGATTAAATAAATAATAAATAAATACTGTTTATTCTCAAGATCATCAAAAACGGTAATATTTACACAGTAGTACTGGCCGTTTATACTGTGCTCAATACAATACACAGTAAATTCTTTCTAACTACCATCACCACAAACTACCGTTCGAAGTTTCGTCAACCATTTGCTTGTCCAGCATAAAATAATGATATCAGAATGAAACTTGATTAGCATTAGCATCCAACTTATATCACCTTCAACATACAATGGATTGATAACACGAATGAATAGAATGCTAATCAACAGATCAAAAGCAATCACACAATATGGTCAAGTGATGGCTCCCCAAGAGAACACATAATTGACTCAACCTCCTGATCAATGAATTAATGTCAAATACAAGATGACTAGACAGAAATGCCGGTTTTTTATAGAATAAAATAATATTTTTATCTATAAATTGTTAACAGAGACATAAACATGGTTAAACGTCATAAACAGCTTTGTAGGTAATTCATTTGCCAATTAGTTAAGATTTGACTACTAGGCTTAATTTTTGTTCATCATATAAAAGATCAAATCCAATGCATGAATCTAAAGATTGCTGATGAGCTATATTTATTTATTATTTATTTGAACACATAAATATTGGTACAAGGGGGCACCAAATACATATGCGCTACATAAATTATTCGATTTTTGTGAGGGCTGTGATACTGCATGGGTGCCCAAACCGAAACGAGTGGTTTTCTTAGGGTGCCACACCCGGAGCCTTTGATGTAAAGGTTTGACCCACAAGGCAGTGGAGCATCGTGAGGAGATGCAGTCCCTTGGTAGCCAGTGACCAAGATTGGTTCATACGCCATTTGTTCCTTCAGGATACTGGGGTCCATTCGCACCATTGGTTTGGGATCCGATTAAAGCGCCGGACATTCACCTTTCGTCCTCTCGTTTTCGTGGACAACACCCCTGCCATGAGAATGCAGTGAGTAGGACTTCTCTGGCAGAGGCTGTACACGCGTGGCCGTGTGACAGCATTTCGAGAGGGAGGGCGGGTCTACCCCACTCTCTCGGCTATACCAGGGCATTTGGGGGCGAAACAATGTTAATCCACGATTCCGCCCCCCCGCGAGATTCGAGCGTGCGAGTGCTTAACCATTAGACCACTGAGCTTTTTACCATATATTCAATAATCACCAATCATTCTTTGTTGTTATAATAAGGAACTCAGAAATATATCGCATTTTTTCTATATTTATTTCAGTCCCGTGATCGGTTTTATAATAACTTATAACTAATGCATAGATAGGAAACGTAATCGAGAGAACATGTGACGATAATAACCAACAATAATATGTGTAGTTTAATTAAAGACATCGTTTGAATGCAACAGCATTACTCATTTTTATTTGCTTTACTTATTTCATGATCAATTCATTTCACATATATTCAATTAAAATAATTCGCTTCAAAGTAAAACGATAGTTTGGTCAGTTAAGTACTAAGGTGATAAAGTTATCACCTCAGTATCATTCAATGAATGCTTATCAAGAGGAACAAAAAGTTGCCATGTTAATTGAACACATTCTGATGGTAGATGGGAGAGATTGCAATGTCTGATTCTCATTATATACTGAAGTGAATAACTTATCATGAAATAAAAGAATCTATATATGGTGACATAGATCTCACATTCAGACATATATTTGAATGTTCCTATTCCATCCGTTTAAATATGAAGAATGATAGAATTTATATTGTTGAATTAGATTATTATCATCAATGTTTGGCTTGTAGATTTTTAAACATCTATTATCCACAGAATGTATACATTTCAATCATAACACAATTCTACTGAATAAGATATAGAAGTCAGTATATTCAATAGAAGTAGACAATAAATTGTAAGAAATCTAACCAGAACGCTATAGGATATTGAATTATATGACAGTCAAGTTTAAGCTTTTCAATAAATAGATTACGTAATGTGTTGTCACAAAAAAAGGGTCACACTTTGTTAGATTACAATCTGGAAATTCATCATAATTCTTTCAGAAAAATAAGGATTTTAAAAAACAGTATTACATAACACTTACCCATCAAAAATTGTCCCGGTGATATAACTAACCCTAAAATAACCATAGTTACTGCTAAAGATTGTGCTAATTGTGAAGAGCCAACCCAATCGCATAAAACTACAACCATTTGAGTCATTGCAGTTCCACTACATATACCATGAATAGCAGAGCATATAAAATAAGATGCTATTAATAATGATTTACCATTATTGTCAACAACATCACCATTAACATCAGTAATAATCTAGAAAACGAAAATATGGATTATAAACAAAACATTATTATTATTATTATTATTATTATTATTATTATATTTGGACAGATAGATGTGTGTAAATATAGACGTGAATTAATCACTTAATCAATTGAAATCCATTTTTACATAGGGTATAGCAATTGATTGTGTTAAAAATTAGAGGATGTGAATATGTAACATGCAAGAAATAATCAATATTAATATTATCAGTTCAGTGTTAATGTTGAACTACTGATAATGATTTATAAGTGTAAACATATTGAGCGAACATTTTAGTTTATCATTTCATTATAGTGTTTAATTATGGAATACTAGTTTATTTCGCCGTTTCCATAGACTAGTCTAAGACTTAAAATTTAAGAAAAAAAACAAACAATTATGGAATGTTATCGGAATGTTCTTGTAGATCTAAAATTGTGAAATAAACCAGACAATTTTAATAGTTTCACTAGGTTCAAAACGAAATTAAGTGTAATGTAGTTTGTACTGTATATAAGTATGTAACAATAACGATTTAAACTAAGATTTATTTTGTTTTAACACAGATATTGATACAAGGAGGCATCAAATACATATGCGCCACACAGATCTCATTTGATATGTGTGAGGGCTGTGATACTGCATGGGTGCCCAAACAGAAACAGGTGGTTTTCTTAGAGGAACACACCCCGAGCCTTTGACCTAAAGGTTTGGCCCACAAGGCAGTCGAGCATCCTAAGGAGATGCAGTCCCATGGTAGCCGGTGACCAATGATTGTTTCATACACCATTTTTTCCCACAGGATACTGGAGCCCATGTGCACCATTGGTTTGGATCCGATTAAAGCGCCGGAAATCCGCTTTTCGTCCTCACATTTTCGTAAACAACACCCCTTCCACGAGAAGGCAGTGAGTAGGACTTCCCTGGCAGAGGCTATATACACGTGACCATATGAGAGCATTTTGAGAGGGAGAGCGGACTTTCCACTCTCGGCCGTACCAGGGCATTTATTATGAAAAGTTCGTAATTGATAAATAATATTGTGAGATATGAGTGTTGAAATCAACTTCTTCAGTTATTTTTATGATCCAATTTCGGCTAAGTGACCCAATAAATTACTTACTTACTTATTTACGCCTGTTACCCCTCGAGGAGGAGCATAGACCACCCAACAGGATTTCCCAACAAACTCTAACTTGGGGAATCCTTTCCAGTTCTTTCCAATTGCTATTGATTCTTTTGATGTCCATTACCAATTCCCGACGCAATGTTTTCTTTAGTCTTCCTTCTTTCCTCTTCCCATAAGGATTCCAAGTTAGGCCTATTCACCCCCAACGTCTTTTCTTAATTTCCTCTTCAGATGGAACCTGATTTGTTTTCTCCTACAGTAGTCTATTGATGATAGTTTTCGGTCAAAGAACATGGAGTATCTTGCGTAGACAATTGTTTATAAATATTTGTACTCTCTTGATGATGGTTGCGATAGTTCTCCATACAATAGAACATTTTTGACGTATACATTGAAGATTCTGACTTCGGTGTTAGCTGACTGCTATTTCGATTTCTAAATGTTTAGCAGTTGACATTTACTCTGAACATTTTTTGCTTAGCAATGACGTTTCACTATACGTAGGGATTTAAATTAATCTGACTGATAATATTCAGGACTAAGCTTTTATCAATCTTTATTGATATGTGAACATCATGTGTAGATAACTTCAATATGACAAAACCACCCTAGTCAGTGAAGATCTCACTAATTTATCAATCAATTTGTTATATTTACATGATACCATAAGTTTAAATTCAGTATTCCTTATTCAGTAATCCCAAACTACTTTAGAGACTTTTCGAGTATTTTTGAGATTCTATTAGTAACCACATCATCCATTTGTTTTATAGCTACATTGATTAAGACCAAATGTGTACAAACTTTTATTTTAGACGCTTGTTTTTTTGTAACGAAAATATAATTGATACAAGTCACCTATTGTTTCAATCAAAAAAACTGATCAATGATCTGTATTACTGAAATAATTTGGCAAATGATATTCCAATTATAGTAGGATTGAGATTGTACTTCACACACACACACACACACACACAGATAACATGATACTTTCTTTATAATGATTATTATTTGATTAACATAGTTGTATGATAAAAATGAAACATAAAAAAAGGAGGTTGGTTTTTAGAGGATGTTTGTTGAATTATTACTTAAATCAATTTGAAAATAAAAAAGTTGAATGATCAATCAAGTAGGTATAAATTAAAGAGAAAATTAATAAATTCGTTGTTAAAAGTTGAAATTTTTTAATTAACTAATGTTAATAAATGATAAAATGTTCTAAATATCGGTCAATCAGTTAGTCAGCTATAATGTACGTACGTACGTACGAAGTTATACGTTGTTACTGACTGACTGACTGAAAGCTACAACGTAGGACAAGGCACATATATGCATCCATCCAAGTTGACATACCTCATTAGCACAACAAAATCAACACCGGATTCATAGAAGCAGTTAAGCCCATGGTGGTAATATATAAAAGAAAAATTGCATATAAAGACATAATACAGGAAGATATGAAGACAGCTTAATCTCATAGTTTATGGGAGAACAAAGAGTGTATACATCGACGTCATTATGATCGATTCTCAACCATGTCACACAGTCTCCAACCATTGGTTACGATAGTCATGTGGAACCCAACAAAGTAGTCTGCATCTACCAGAAACGCTCAGACTAGAAGTTAGTGTCTTCGAGCACTGACGCTACGTTTTGGTTTGACCGCCTCTAACTTCCTTCCAACCATCCTCAACACCAATCAGCATTACGCATCGTGATAATCAGTGTTCAGGCATACGTAACACGTTGCCCAACCATCTCAGTCGATGAAGACGCACAACCTCATCAACTGGTTTACCATCATCATTCCCTAATACCCTGTATCTGACCTCACTATTACTTACCCGGTGATCGTAGAAAATGTGAGCAACATTTCTAAGGCATCTGTAGTTAAATACTAGTAGCTTACGAGTATCTACTACTCTTAATGGCCGCGTTTCGTAGCCATGAAATAGAGCAGAACGTACTGGCTGCTGCTCAGTGTGCTCTTCCTTTAATTGACAGACCGATATATCTCGCCTTTGCCATATGTGACGTAAGTTGACAAAAGCCGAGCGAGCTTTTCGAATCCGTGCTGAGAATGTTTTAAATATACAACACAATTGATTGATATATAAATCTAGGCTGGTAGAAAAAAGATAAACTTGGTTAGAAGCAAGGTATGTTAATATTATTTTAACAAGTCTATTGCTTCATTCATCGTATCGAAATTCTATGGCACAGGAAACTTATGCCAAAATCTGAATCAAATATTGACACAGAATGGTATGCCTAAAATCAGATAGAACAGAAGGACTTGATGATTTAAAGTCTTCAAGAACGGTAAGTAGGACTAGTTATAATATAAGTTGACGCATATAAAAAATAAAGACTCTATTTCTTGATTATTGCAATATATTAAATAATAATAACATAATGCCCCTTGAGATAAAACCACTGAGGAATATTTGCATACAGTGATAAGAACTGATTGTCGAGGTTATCTACTGCCACCATTCCTGCTCAATTCCTGTATAAGCTTACTGATATATATGATGCTATTTATACCATCTTTATTGAAATCAAGAGCTTATATGACAGATTTGCTACTGACCTGCAGTACGTAGAAAACACTTACATTCTTTGAATGTAAAATGATCTATTTGCAAAAAAACATTTATGGTCGAAACAACCCGGACAGAGTCGGTCGTTAAAGAAAGTAAGAGTAAAAAAAATGACCTGCTTGAAATTTTCTTTGCTACACCTTCTTGAGTAAGAGATCATAAAGGGTTGGGGTATTGTGAAATCCGTTAATCCGAAGAAGAAGAAGAAGAGGTATATGCATACCGTATATGTATTGGTTCGTATTTTTATTTACAACACTGCTCAATTGTCGTAAAAATCTCAAGGTACGGTAATGAGTGAAATTATAAAGATGGATCTGTTTAAATGGTTGTTTTTCGATAAATTCTCTGCACTACTGTCCACCTTAGCACCAAGAGCATATTGAAATAGGATTGTCAAGAACCCATAAATGGTTGGGAATAAAGAAAAAAACCGTAGTCGTTTTAATACCAACTCTAATAATCAGTTTGATTCACATGGGAATGTGGAGACTTCACGAGTACAGATTACAGAATGATAGATCGGACTCAAAATCATTATGATAACGACGTAGACACAACCCCTTTTCATCTTTTTCGAGTACTATATCAAAGATTTCAACGTTATTTTATTTGGTTAGCATAAGAGACAGAAATTATCAAGTTAGACAAGCATTAATTTTTACAGACTTACAGCATGTTTTCCATATAATCGGTTAAGTTCAGCAAATGCAAAGGCATTTAAACCTTCTACGATCCATGTAACAGCTAACAATAAGCCACGACGACCGACACATGCTGGTCTATCCGTAAGCCAACCAACTCCCACACGTGTGATTAAGTCACCGACACCAGCAACAGCTATAGCTCTGTTGATCTGATAATAAACATAATGAAAGAAACGATAATTGAAAAACATAAGTAGTACACAAGGGTTAATTTAACGACAATGAAGAACTGAATTTTTAGGTGAACTAAATGAACAGTAATTCGATAACTTAACAAGTAAGTCACAATAACTACTCGAACCTTAATGAAAGGAATACACAGACTGGGTTCATAAAAGATTATTGAATAATAAGTGAAACAGTCTGACATGGAAACCTTCAATACTAAAAATAGTCAATTGACAAGTTATATTAATTGTATCTTTTTTAATTACATCGTTCGTAATTCAGGTTAAGTTGTAAATGTCACGATTTAATGGAATGAAGTTAATTTTTGTTACGATGAGACTAGAAGGTTTCGAATTGGAGCTCGTGTATGCGTTTATAAATAAGATTTACTTAAAAAATTCCCCAAACTAGAACGGGACATCCACTAAACCATTCTCCACAGATAATACTATTCCATAATGGAAGCTACTTTTAAGTAAATCAACTTTAAACTTAAACAGAAATTCTAATGAAAATGTTTTTTAAGAACTTAGACAACTTAAAAAAGACAATTCTATCGCAGACAGATACATAAAGTTGAATAGTATGATTAATGATGAGTAGTAGTGTTCTACATTAACTTCAATGTTGGTCAGAAGGTTCATTATTTATTTCAAATGATTCATATAAAAAAATTACATATACAACTACCCGTATTTCTTTCTATATACAAATTTATTAATGATTTAATACTTGAATCAATTTGATAGAATATAAAGACAATAGTTGTATGAGTATCTTCAATAGAAAGAAAGGAAGGAAGGAAGGAAGGAAGGAAGGAAGTAAGAAAAACTGTCAAGAATTGAAAACATCTAAGTTAGACATAAATAAATAAATAGATGAAAGTAAAACAAACAAAAAAAAATAGAAGGGTCAAATCCATAGAACAAACAAACATTTTGTCTACTTTTGAATAGCTGAAAATAATATTACACAAAATCTAAAACATGATGGTATTTTAAAACTGACAAATGACATCAGCAAATATTAAGTATTTTCTTCACGATAGCAAAGTTAAACAGTATGACTGTCCACTTGTACAAACAGCGTTTATGTTAGCAAATACATCATGCTATTCTATTATCAGTGCAGTCTATTATCAGTCAGTTAACTTTAGGAGGTGTAGGAAGGATTTGAATGTGACCAACTTGGTCTCGTGTGCTGGTACGGGTATGAGGTCTGATATCACTTCCCGGCTGCCCACACTGTGGTAGAGTATTTCTTGAGGAACCTGAAAAGGAAATTGGATTAGTGTTGGTCTTTACGACCTGGGAGCATGACCGCAGAGCCCAAGAGACAACTGCTTGAGGCCAGTCGCGCAAGGCCTTCTCGTGGGAGATTTTTAATGTGTTAGCTCCGTTCTTCAAAGGACCTTACCGTCGGAGACGGAAATCCGTGAGGTAAGGTGAGGTGTGACATTTTTAGGGCAGACCTTTTCTAACCCCTTCCTTCCTTGTGGGAAGGCAGCATCGCTGCAGATGCTGGTTGTCCGAGGGAAACACCTTACTGTTGTCACACCTCTCTACAGTCAGCAGTACGACTTCGCCCTCAGACCTTGAGTTGCTGCTTTTAATCTTACTGTTCTCCAATCAACCTGCCTAGCATGGTAAAACCTATAAGAACATATGTTCCAGCCAATATAGCTCGGTTGGGTCATCACGATAGGCAAGCCCGACCACCGCGTTAAGGTAGCAGCTAGGATCGGGGTCTATTATCAGATGGTAAAGGTTTTTATTTAGGGGCACTGAATACATATGCACCACACAAGTCACTTAATTTGTGTGAGTACTAGGATACTGCCCAGATGCCCAAACTGAAACAGGTGGTTTTCTTAGGAGGCCACACCCGGAGCCTTCGATCTAAAGGCAGTGGAGCAACGTCAGAAGATGCAGTCTTATGTTAGCCTGTGACTAATAATTGGTTCAAACACCGTTTGTTCCCTCAGGATCCTGGAGTCCATGTGCACTATTGGTTTGGAATCAAGGTTTTTCAACTCCCTTAAGTGAATTCTCCGTATCTAACAACTCGCTTAAAGCGTCAGACACTCAATTTTCGTCCTTTTAATTTCGTAAACAACACTTCCGTCACGAGAAAGCAGTAAGTAGGACTTTCCTAGCAGTGATGGTAAAGATTAGTTAACAATGAGATAATAGATAAATGAATTCCAGAAATTAAAGTGTCTAAGGTAAGGTAATTTACAATGTTTATAAGGTTACAAATTGAATGAATTAAAACAAAGTGTTTAAATAATAATTCGTAAAAGTAGTTACATAATTAAATTATTATTGTTAAAACAGATTAACATTAATTATATATAAGAAATAAAATGATAAAGAAAACTAAAGACGGAAATGAAAAGAATATGATTTGTAAATCTTCCTAGGTCAAGTGAATAAGAGTTTTAACGGTGAGAATATAATTTATGGATGAACTTTAAGTGATGCTAAAGACACCTTGAGCATGTCCACACCTATATACTACGGCTAAATAAAGATTATAAACCAGTGTGAGGAATTACAATTAGTATTTATAATTGATGGTTAGGGTTAGGAATCAGATATAGGATTTTCATCATGAACTGACATCAGTTATAATGTCAAAACTTTATTTAACCAAATAGATGAGTGGATTTCGCGCCAAAATTCAAGACATGTTATCGTAAATCTGATTGGTTCATTCAAAGAATAATAGTCTCACCATTTTAACTTAACTAATGATTAATGTGATTAGTTTAAAAAAGATAAATACAGACAACGTTAGGAGGAAATGTAGTTCATAGCATAGATTGATACATAATTCAAATTATTTTAATAATTACGGTTCACTTAATGCCCAATGTCTATTCAGTGAGAAGATATAGAGAGTTAATGAGGATAGATGATATTTGAAAATCCACAAAATACTTTAACAAATTGTGTAGTTGGTAGAAATAATTTCAAATAAACAGTTAAACTAGTGAGCAGATATAGACAAGGTGTATATGCGACTAATATATTTTTAAATTTCTTACAATTAAAGAAAAAGAATGACCGGAAAATAAGGTGTAAAAAATGTCTGTACTATTTGCATAGCTCTTCGTATATATGTATTGCCTATGAAGTGACAATAAAACTGGTTTGACGCAGTTACTTACTAAAAACAATGGTAGACGGTGGCACAATATCGTGGATTGGTTGAAGTTAGACACTGACACTGTTAGATGCCAGCTCAGTAGTTTAGAGGTTAGGCATTCTCATACGAGACTGAAGGTCCCGGGTTCGAGTCCCGTGTACGGGGTCGTAGGTGCACACTGCTGAAGAGTCCCGTACTAAAATGAAACGGCTGTCCAGTGCTTCTAAGTTTACCATGGTGGTCTAGCTTAAATCGACTCATGCATTCAACTAATAAATTACTACAATCTCCACAAACCGCTATTTTGATAATAAAACTTTAGTTGATTGATTGTCTAATAACTAATTTGCACCGATTTGATTCGTTTATACATTAATGTAAAGTTATGTTAAGAAGTTAATATAAAAAGACATCTACCCAAACAATATTTTTATAGAAATTAACCAGCAATTAAATCAACAACATAAATGATCATTTCTGTAAGTACACAATATGCACTTTAAGTCAACTGTGGTGTAGAAATGCCAGGCTGCCAACCAAAAGATAAGTATGCTGAGCTGCAATTCGTTCTGTTCTACATTATGGCTTTGAAATGTACCCTATGTGAATGGGGAGTATTTGTATGTTAATAGCATTTGATCATATATATTTTTGAAGCATTGCTCGCGTATATTGAGACCACTGAGTGACCGATGATGAAGTTGGACGCAATGTAAGAGACAAACATACTGAATTGGTTGATCAAACAATGAATCCTCATCGACTGAATTGGTTGGGATGGGCATTACGCAAGCCCAACTACCCCGCTTACCTCAAATAGTAGATTGGAAGAAACAAAGAGGCAGCCAACCCTAAATATGGCACCATCAAATATAGTCACTAACTGTAGAACTGAGTCGTGTTAGTAGGTGAAGACTACCTGGTTGGGGTCCGCGAGATATCTGCGGTAAATGGTTGAAGACTTTAGATGAAATGACTCAGAATTAGTCTCAACGGCGCGGATACATCCACTATTTTACTTTACATCTTGAATCTTAGGATCAACTTATAATACTACTCCGAGAACCATTTCTTTTTTCTCGAATCGTATTTTCTGTCACTAGTCTTTTTTTTTACTATCACACCGATGCTGCTACTACGTTGCTAATGGCTAACTTATTGATCAAAAATCAATATTCAAAACAAGTGTACGAAAGTGAAAACACAATTATTTATGTAAGGATTATGTAGAAAACTTCCAACATATACAACTTTGACCGATGCAACAACCAATTTTTGGTAATTAGCTGGAAAAAAAAAGATTGATAAGCTTGTTTTCTCACTTAATTCACGTAGCTCATTTATTCAAAGTTGACCCAGTTTAACGTTACCTAACTTAAGAAATAATAAAGCAATATTAACCCTAAGATAACAGTAATCTGATTAAATATATTAATGAAGGAATTATACAAAAATGTGCTTACTATGGTAGGACTTAAGGCTAGTTCAGTTCCAAATACTGGTGCTATAAAAGATACACTGACATCACCAACGTCACCAAATGTTTTACCAACTATATAAACAATAAGTAAACCACGAGTAAGATATTTTACATGACGAGTTGATAATGATAGAACAGATACACGGGACAATGATAATGTAGACGAAGAATGAATAATAGCATTCACTGAGTGTACTACATCTCTGAAAATAAATAAAAGACAAGTAGTGAACAGAAATGAAAGTACATTTAATTGGGATTTAGTTGAACTACTACGTAATGGTGTTACAAAAACATAATACTCTTCAGAACCATCTGTTAAATTCAGTGTTTACATAATATTAACCAAATTAGTGCTCTATTTATAACTAAAAGAGGCGAACAAACATGCTTACAAATCGATTTCACGATTTTATGCGTATCTACAACGTTGAGCAGGATGCTCTTCACCCCCAGGACTCTAACTCTCTTCATTTAGTGTTAAAGTAAAGACGTTATTAGGAAGCTATCTAGATAGCAACTGACCTATAGCAGGACTGGAATGTTTACAGTAATTGATATGCCTGACGAGTGATAGGTAACGCTAAACCTAGATCTAACCCTTTCTTCCAATTACCTGAAATCACCCTGACACCGAACAAAGTACACTAATGCATTACTTTGACTAATGACCATAACGCAACAAAGCTAAGAAACTATTCGAACTACAGGGGAAATAAGCAGCAGCAAATAAACATTGGAATTTACAAAACTTACCTTTGATTGTCTAATTTCGAGAAGAACTCATCTACGGGACTTTGTAACTTCTTGTCTGAATCAATGGCTGTCGACTGTTTATCAACATTCAATAGATCTTCTGAAGCCATTAATTGTCTGTCTTCCTTGGATTTTGATTGTGACTTGCAAGATTTCCGTTTTGATTTGCCTGTTTCAACTTTTTCTGTTGGCACAACAGGTGCATCTGGATCAATGATATGACGAGGCATTAATGCAGCTGTGATTAACAAATGTAAACAAATTGCAGCCATAATTACTCCTCCACCTCTAGCACCATAAGTAGTATTCAAAGTAGTGATCAATGAAGGAAATACCATTTGACCAACACTAACACCGGCAACACTAATTCCATTTGCTAAACCTAAATATCGTTTGAAACAACATCCAACAACAGCGAACACTGTGAAATAAATGCATGACAAGGATGCGCCTGTGGAAAAACACAAGTAAAGTTAATTAGTTTATATATAATCAGATGATAGGTAAGTGATAATTCCTTTGATACTAAAGCAATAGAACTTATAAAAATGGAAGTGAGAAAAATTTAAAATGTATATGGATCCTATGAGAACTTTTTTTGGGTATATGATCACACATGGTTCCCGTTAACGCCAATTGTAATGATTAGCTTATACATGATCTCTCTTCTACACTTTGAACAGATCAGTCAGTCAGTAACACCGTAGAACTTCGTACGTACGTACATCAATTCGAGTTGCCATACCACATTAGCACACAGATACAATTGTCCATTCAAATCCCATAGTGGTAGGGGTAGTAAGAGTATTAGCAGTAATCGGGAAGATTAGGGTTTGGAGATGTTATTTAAAGAGTGTAATACAGTGAAATAAATTTGGGAGAAAAAAAAGGGACAAGGAGGAATCAGGAGATTAAAATTCGGGAGAACACAAAGAGTGTATGCACCTGCGCCATTGCAAACGACTTTGAGCCATGTCATTTGAACAGATATCCAAAAAGAACACAAACTCTAATATTGATAGACAACGTATATTAGGTTCGGTAAGTAGTGTCATTATAATGGTTATATCAAAACATTACTTGCTCAAGAATTTATTTAACGACTGGTTTAAACGTCATGTAATGTACAGTTATCTGTAAACATTATCGGATGCGAAAAAGTTAATTCCCATCCAGGGAGCTCATTCATTGACTTAGAGTACACACGTGACCTAGTTTGGCTTGGTGAAGATATCAACAAGATATAGTCTTCTGGACCCCCTTAGTAATAATCCAAGAATATTTGGAATCCGTTTCTTTTTCTTCTCATTACTTTATATTATATCTATAATATTCAGTAATTTCTGGTAAATTTGAGCACCAAACAACATATACAGTACTATCGTCATTGATTTCTATTCTGAGCCATACCGACATGGATTAAGTGTGCCCAACTACCGGTTAACTTGATCCCAAATGCTGGACAAGGTAGGTGTGGTATCAATCCATTAAATCACTGTTATTCTGAACTATGTTGATTGGTGTGGAGTACTTTAATGGCGTTCACGTGAAAACCATAACCAATGGTGAAGATGGATCTACTCTATATCTCATTCTAAACTTCAATTTTCAAAATTATTACCTACATTTTAGATTAGATTTAGACCTCTTTATTATCGCTGACAGTTTTGTCGATTTCATCTCGTCATATTGATATGCTGTGATAACTTGGGCTAATGCATATTCATCCCTATGGTGATTACAGGCTAACTATAAAAAAAACAATTTACTCCCAAATCAATAATCTCATGTTAAACAATATCAGTAATATAGTTTTGATTAATCAGTAAATTGTGAATTTATTATGAATTACATATATCTTAAGATTAAAAATAAAGAAAAAGAGAGATTATGAATAGTTTACGCCTAATATAGAATTAGATTTTCAGTTATAACATTACAAAAGTCAATTATTTATAATAACCCAGACAATATTATACAACATGGTCACAGTTAAGATTTTAAAACAAGCAAACAACCGATATGTGATAATCTAGATTAAAATGAATTTACAAATGATACAATATTTCATAGTTTAATGTAGGAGGCTTTGATTTAAAATACATTAATTATGTCTGAGATATCACGGGGCTAAGGCCTAACTTGGAATCCTGAAGGGAAGCGGGGAAAGAGGAAACTATTACGTTGGGAAATAGAAGCAGATATAATAAAAAAAGATGGATAACAACTGGGATAAGTTGGAAAGGATTGTCTAGGACAGGGTTGAATAGAGAGTATTGGTGGGTGGCGTATATAAGTAAACAATGTTTGAGGTGGACACAATTTATTGCCCTCACAAATGATTAAAAACTTGGATTACAAAGAAACTCTGAAAGTTGAAAATTGAAGTATCTAAATACGACGGCAGTTGAAATAATTTTCCATGGAGCCTTCACTATTAACAAACTAAGCACTAAAAAATAAATACGAATAAACGGTAATTTTCTTAATTGATCAGATATAATCATGCACCTATGATATGTATTGTTAAGTGTTAAAACATTTCGATTATACGGTATTTGAACCCGTGATTTAATCGGTAAATAACGAGCTTAAACATCAATCAGCCAGCCAACAATCAACATTGCAAACATAGTGTGTACTAATTAACTAGAAGTTAGAAAGACTGAAATATAGTCTAGCCAAAAAGTAAAATGATACAAAATCAACAATACTTGTTAATTAAAAAAAAACAACAACCGACAAAGCGTTTACTACTCACAGTACTTTCATTTTATCACTTGTAAAATGATTACGATATCACATTTTTCGTTATTTAAAAAAATATATGTGGACTACTAACAATGAAGAAAACCAACACAAAAATGTTATGCAGTTGGCAAGATACCCTGTACTTGGGTATCATATTGGTTAGCACTCATCAACAAGACACTTGGAATCTTTAAGCAACTAATCCTCCTTGTAGGATTCAAATTAGTGTTACCTAGCTTGAAACTCTCAGATATTACGATTGAGCTATTCAAATCCTGACTAGCCATCTGTAGGACTGGAATATTTACAACTGATTAGTCTTACAGGGCGCGTCAGCTTCCTTAAGATGTCAAGTACATCTTGCTGACAAGTACCAACCAGACTGGAATCTAGGTCAAGTAGAATTTTCTGTTGACTACCTCCAACTGGTTAACATCTCAATATATTCCATGCTACATTGAGTCCTTTCGACTAGTTATCACACTGCAACTTGATCGATAGAATTTTTTCAGACATGACATTAATCAATACTCAGTAGTCTTTCAATGGTAAACGAGGAAGAAAAAGAAACTTATAGTCAAGATGAAGTACCTATTCCAAAACCAACAGCAACAACCCAAAGTGCAAGATTAGGTGAACATGATGCAATTAATAAACTTATACAAGAGCCAAAAGCACCAACCATCACAACAGGTCGACTACCATATCGTTTTGAAATTAAGTGGTTAACGAGAGCTAGAAAAAAAAAACAGTAAATGACAATTTATCAACAAGCGAAATGTATTAGAATTGAATACATCAACACAAACATAATAATTATATAAACTATATCAATTTCTATATTAAACATACTACCACCTCCTTTAGCATCCATAGCATACAAGACAAGTTGTTTGCATCAGTACGTATATCTTAAGGCTGACATCGACTGATAACTAACATACACTGAAAGACCAGAATAATTGAACTACTAAAATATGATAAAACTAATGCTATTGGTAAATGGATAAATCCACTACTACATCATATTAAGCAGGACCAACAATTGAACTGGGAATAAGACGTAACTACTGGCTACACGCAACTAGGTAAGACAAAAAATTTTTCCTTAATTTCTCTAGTAGAAATAATGCAACTCAGTCATTACATACAAGTCAATTTACGAAGTAGAAAACTAAATAAAAGTAAAAAAGAAATTGAAAAGAACATATTCAAAAGAGAGATATTGATAAAGATTAGTGTGTCCGACATAGACAAGAAATATGTTGAACGGACATCTCCCATAACTTTTGACAACTTGCGTCACCTATGCAGTAGGAGAAATATCCATCTACCAACCTAGGCGTGAGTATACTGTAAATAGGTTCTCTCTGTGTTACAATATTGTGTTGGTACATAGTCCTTAGCAAAAAAGGATATTCGTGAGTAAAATTATCAAGTAGTTATAAACAATCAAGATATGAAACATTATAGGTTAAAAAGAAAGTATAAATCAAATACATATGCGCCACTGATTAATTTTGAGTAATACTACCGTCTTTAACCAGTGATTACGATCACCTTTACACTGACCGACCAGCTGGCAGTTCAGTTAAGACTCGTATAAAAAACCAATGTTTTTGAACTGAAGCTAATCCAATTTTAATTAAGCCAGTTAGCTGTACAAAGTAAAGTGAGTGAAACTACCAAATAGTTATGAACACCCAGCTACCTAGAAGCGATTCGGATCTATAAAATCATCACCATAACCATAGTATTTCTACGCTGTTTATAAACTTGTTTATAATTTTCAAATTTCGTCTCATTACAATGTTCTTTTAATTCCCAGAAACATTTCGTCAATACAGGATTCGAGATGGTTGAATGTGGTTCAAAGCTGTATGAAGCATGCGTAAATAGTTGGTTCAAGAACCGGTGCCTAAAGGCAGTGAAACATGGCCGGTAAGAGTAGAGGATATTCGTAGGTTACTAGTATTCGATTATAGGTGTCTTCGAAACATTGCTCGTATATTCTGGGACCACCGAGTAAGTAATGCAGTTGTTAGGAAACGGGTTCTAGGTAAGGATGACAAATCCATTGATGAATTAGTAAAACTTCATCAGCTGAGATGGCTGGGACATGTGTTATGTATATCCAACCACAGACTGCCCCGACGTGCGATGTTTTATGGTGTATTAGATTGGAAGAAAGCTATAAATCTGACTAAAACTAATACATTACTTAATTCAATTTCGAGAAACAATATTTTTTAGGAAACAAATCATTCTGTTACTTTTTTATTGCTTGATAGTTATTCTATGACTTCATCCCATATTGATATAGGCTACCTAAAAGAATTATGCAGGCACTTGAATACTTAACCCAACATTACATACCTGATAAAAACAGTAAGTGAACATGCGAAATCTCTCACACACATTGCTGGTATATTTTTACAACCCCATTGGTCACCTTGTTGTGCATATTGAAGCCTTTATTAGCTAAAAATTCGACAAACTAATGGTTCCACCAAGTGTTAAAATATAAGTTGAAGAAACTAGTACATCTTGATGTTGTTTAAAAGAACTGACAACACCCAGATTAATTTTTTTAATTAATGACACTGATGAGTTTTATACCCGCTTAGAAGGGGATTACATAACTAATAGAATATACTGAGTTGAGTAAGTTGGTAAACATTAATCAAACTTGATAACGATGGAACAATTTTAAAGGCAAGGTACTAGAGATGATGTAACTTTCTAATTCAATATGTCCCTGTACTTCACTAGTTATAGTAAAACTGGGTGACCGAATCTAGAGCACCATCTTAAAACTGTTAGGTCTGAAAACACAACTAAACTACGCTAAAATTCTAGAGATATTATATATTGTATTATTCGATAAGTAAAATGAGCAATAACTCAAGGTTGAGCATTAAACTGACTTCTGTGGTCCTTTAGAAAGCCAGGCAGGGGAGCGTTCAAATATGTATTTCGAAAGACATAGCTTGGTAATTAAATAATATTCAGCTCCAACTTATTACATGAACTCTAATGTAAGAAGATCTACACAAAGTCAGTCAGTTACACCGTAAGACCTATATGTATATACATCGGTTCGAGTTGCCTTACTACGTTAACACAGAGAGATGAAGTTGTTAGGTCAAATCCCAGAACAGTGAAGATAGTAACAGTATCAGTGGTAATGGGAAAGATTAGGCACCGAACACACAACTCGAAAAGAAAATATAAATTGGAGAAACAAAAACAAAAAAGTCAAGAGGAATTTAGGATCTCAGGATTCTGGGGGAGACAAATGATGGATGCAACTGTGCTACTGCAAATGATTTTGAGTCATGCAGTTCAAAGTCGCTAACCTTATATATACCATTGTCACCATTGCTCAATAACTTCATTTAAAGTTTCCAAAATAAATTCCTTAGAATCCCGCCAAATGTAATTTGATAATATTTAAATATTATTTATAGAAATATTTAATTGATTTCGAAAATATAAACATAGTATCTCAAATACATAGAAACTTACACAGACAATACATAAGTGTATAGATTAAACCACCAGCTAAAAACAAGTAGGCAGAACCACATTCAAATACTTCTTGAAACGCTTCCATAACCAAACTATAAGATTTGCCTAAACCACCTAACAGAACGTTGGCAACAAAGCCACCTATTAATAAACAAAACAAAACAATTGAGAAATAAAAATTTCTTGAACTAGAATATGACTTTGTCCAAAATAGAAAATTTTTGGTTGAGTCGTCGCATTTACACTTGATAATACTGCTTAAAGGGTTTAGTAGTTAAATATACTGATTTATACAAACTATTTACCAAGTACAGGTTTATGCACTCGATTTTGAGTCCCATTATCTGTATGAAGTAAAGTGGTGCCGTACCGTAACACAAACCGCAGGAGTAGTTTGAACTTGGTGCCCACTGCTTAGGAGGAAATCACTTTGACGAATGAATTACAGAACGATACAAAGATAGGGTTGATAACATTTTCCTTTCTGAAAACCGTTGGATTTAAGAAATGAGTTATCATCTTCGATTTCTTATCGTATTCGAGGATGATTGCGTGAGATTGACTTAATGTTTATTTATCTTTTGACATCTGCTAAACATTTCAGTAGATTTTTCTGAATTACTGTGAATAAAACATTCAATTTATTCATAATTAAAAACTATGAGGAACCTATCGCACTTCATTTCATCAGCATGTAACAAATTGAATGGTGCGTGCGTAAGCCTTTTGGCTATCATGTAAAGCCAAAATACTTACTAATAAATAAAACAAAATATATTTCTTTTACTAATCTGTCATTTCACTCTTGATGTACTAATTAAATATGTTACACCAAGGTATAAATAACAATTTATCTGAATTGTACTGAACGGATTGTCTGGAACTGTGACTACTACCAATTGAATACTAAAAAATACAGCTATCATGTGATCTACAGCTAGCTCTAAAGGAGCTAGGGAAATTATGGACGCAAGAAAAAGTTGCCATTAGAAATAATAGTTCGATCCTGAACGATGTAATCAACATTGAATGATTAGTAAAAGTGATTGGTAAAGTAGTTGTGTAGGATATTCTGTTCACAATCCACCATCCAAAACTTTATCTACTGTGACTATTAAAGTTGAACACATAAATGAATTTTCCTTTACATAGATTCAAGAAGAACAGAGGTTTGACTGATATTATCATCAATGGGCCACCAAACATATGTAACTCTTACGACTACCAACTGATTATTTTAATTTGCCCCTTACAATATCTAGTGAATAGATTTTAATTTGAAATAAAAGGTTAAAGTATTCGGTTTCTCAGCGATTAAAATATCCTTCTTAAAAAGAATTTGATAATGAAAACTGAATTGTTCATTTAATGTCGATTTTTAAGAGATAGGTCTTTAAATTCACCGATTCTTTTCAAAACAAAACATTAGTTGATGTGCATCACTGGGATACTACGTCGATTGTAGACGTAATTGAAAAGTGAAACTGACTAAGGAAACTTACTATTTTTTAAAATTCAAATATGCTGTATAGCAGGCACAAGTTGATGGAAAGCAAAAAAATAAATTGAGATCAAGTAGTGGTAAATAAATAGCCTTCAGCTAAAAGGCGAAAAAGTGAATAGCTTTGACCGTTTTCAACCACGCTCGCCTATAACATTTCAAACCCATAGCCACTCATTTTTAACATTTTGAGAATAAGGAAAAATATGAAAACGAGCGATCATAAATATTAAAGACTAGTACAGGGCATATATATTAGCGCTCTCTTGTACCAATATTTATGTGTTCAAATAAATAAATAAATAAATAAATAAACAGGGCATTATTCTGATCCCCATATGTTATCCCGACTTATTCCTAATTCAATAAAAGTAATGTATCAAGAAATTTCACGGAAGACATAAAAAACATGTTTCGACCGTCTGTGTAACAACGGTCAAAATAAAAACGCTTCATTATATATATGGTCATTTTTAACAAAAATAGTGACAGTAGATATATCAGGTAGACACCAATAAATACTGTGTTTAATTTATTACGAGTCCTAATAAACACCCTTTATTTTGAAGATGGTTTTTTGATTTCTTTCTTAAGCACAAAAAATCCTTGATGAAATCGGTTGTTTCTTAATGTTTAGTAGCATTCAAACAAATTGGTAAGCCCGTACATCATAGTTTATCTAAACTAAAGAAAGTGAATTAGGTATGTCGTGATATGTGCCGTTTAAACTTTGACACATGTTTATATATATATATATATATATATATATATATATATATATATATATATATATATATATATATATATATATATATATATATATATATATATATATATATGAATCCTGGTTATACTACTCAGTTGTCTTACTCGAAGTAGGTGAATTAAGGTTCGATCTCGCAACTCAACAATTAAAATTCGAGTATTTTAATCACTGAATGTCAAATTCCAACAAGACATAATTCATCTGTAGAATACGTTTTACACAAGTTCTACGGCTGATATGTAGAAAGATCACTCATAAATCACTCAAAAATGTATCAAAAACTTACCAACCACTGTACACCAGGCCATCCCACGATCTACGTAGACAGTCGACATTACATAAATATATATTTGTGTAGGCTTCAAGAATTCTTCCTATTCACATCAGATACTGTAACTATGTCAACAAACAGGAAACAAAATCTTGTGAATATGGAAAGTATTTTGAATTGCATTTCTTAAAAATAATTCTAATGTTTGACTTACTCTTAACTTCGAACACTGATAACGTGTCTCCGCTAGAACCGTTCATCGTATTGTTGCATAAGTCCCCGCATTTTGTTCAAAACCTAAGGGTATATATGTGTATCACATAACTAGAAAATCTGTCAGTATTGTTGGAAGTATTTCGTAGGCTTTACTGTGAACAGACCACTTGTTTATTTTTCTGCTGCTAACTAGATAAACTAAGACGGGTTCTTTACTGTGAATACGTAAAATAGTAATTCAACCCTTTTTGGTCTGTTTTAATATGCGCCTTTTCTAAAAAATATTTTGGATATACAACTTACAAATATAAGTGTCATAGTAATGCTGCAAGTGAACAAGAGGCTGATATAAGACCGATTAGTGATATAATGTAAAACCGATCACTATCTATGTGAAAAGTGCTAGTCACCCGATACCCTTTAGTGTTAATACCCAGGAAGTATTACATCATCCACCTGATCCGACATATGCATCATTAGTGAAATTACCTGATTCCAACTTTACCCCTGAACTACAAATACGAAATTTATTAGACCATTTAATTTCTTTCAGAAAACATTGCAATTCCTCAGAATGATGAATGTCTGGCCAGATAGCCTGGGTGTCTGGAAAAAGTATCACAAATACGGACACTAGATGAATATAAAGGATAAACATAGTCAGGAAGAAACATTGGGATACGAACTCATATGGTGCGACTCAAGTTCAGGTTGCCGCACCTTATACAAGTATAGAAAAAGTTGCATGAAATTTCAAGACGTCCGATTATTTTAACCACTAAGGAAACGAATATGGTTGAGATCGAGGAAAATAAGGTGCATATGTGATACTGATCAGGTAGATGAGAAGGACGAGTGGTTATCCCCCCATATTGTATCCAAACGAACAACTTCTGCAAGAACTACAGTACTACTTTACAGAAACCGAACAACAAGTTATTTTTTCGTCTTTACTAGCATAGAGAAAACTTCGTACATGACTTCTCCAGTTACATTTTAGCATAAAACTAACGTATCAAAAGACCCATTGTGACTTTGATATTTGAAAGTGTATAAATCAAGAAATGAAACCATTAAAATAGTCCGTACGCGTAAACCACCAGAAGAATTCACACACCTGACTCAACTTCAAATCGTTGTCAAATTAACAACCTTGAGTTAATTTAGTAGTAGTTTGAAGGAATAAGGATCGATCCACTGTAATAAGGACAGGAGGTCGATCAACCTATATTAATCCTTGTAGTTTGTAACACTGTGAAGGTTCAAACTCGTTTTAGATAAATCAAATGGTTCAAATGGTTTTGGACGGAACAGAAGAAGCTTTCGCTTAGCGGGCTTCCGAATCTAGAATCAGTTTCAGTTTGTTTGGGAAGGACAGGAGGCTCGATGGCCTATGTTAGTCCTGGCAATGGTGGTCTCTCAGTTGATCCAACTTTCTTTTGAAAGAGTCGACGGATGGAGCCTCAACCACGTGCTGAGGTAGTGAATTCCACTCGTTGATGATTCGATGGGAAAGTCGATAGTCAGCTGACAAGTAATTTGTTCTCGGCTTGTGAACTTTTTTGGAGTGTCCTCGTAAATTCTCTGTTTTGGAAGACAAGAAAAATGAGGGCATGTTAGGTGCAAATTTATCACTAAGCAATTTGTAGACTGTAATCAAATCGCCTCTAGTTCTGCGATTTGACAACGGGAAAACGTTCAGCTTGGCCAGTCGAGCTTCACACGGAAGCTTTTCTATTCCGGGAATCAGCTTAGTCGCCGTTCTTTGAACCTTTTTCAGAAGCTCACTGTCTTTTTTAAGCAGGGGCTAGCTGCTTGTATGCAGTACTCAAGTTTAGGACGAACAAGCACTGTATACAAAGTCAAAAACGTCTTAGCGTCGACATGACTAAAAGCCCTGCGTATTGATCATAACGTTCTAAAACTTTTGGCGGCTATTGCACGGCAGTGTGCAGTAGTCTTTAAGTCTTGACTAACGATAACTCCTAAGTCATTATATGTCTGGACGACAGGTAGCTCAGTGTTATTCATCGTGTATGTATCTGTGCCTTGATGACCGATATGCATCACAACACACTTGGAAGTATTTATCGGCAACTGCCACGTTTGAGACCATTCAGATAACTTCTTTAGGTCATTTTGAAGTTCTAAGCTATCACTCTTACATCGTATCGTTCTCCATATCTTGACATCATTAGCATATAGCAAGACCGATGATGATAGGAGACAAGGAAGGTCATTTACATACAAGAGGAATAGCACTGGCCCCAAAACTGTACCCTGGGGCACTCCACTAAGCACAGTTTCCCAGCTAGATAACTTTGAGTTCTCCCTTATTCTTTGTTGACGCCCAACTAAGAAGTCCTTTATCCACATCAATAAATTGCCTCCAATCCCGACTTTTCTTAACTTATATAATAGCCATTTGTGCGGAACTTTGTCAAAAGCTTTACTGAAATCAATGAAGGCGACGTCTACAGGTAGCTTTTGGTCCTTAAGAGCGCACCAGCTTTCACGAGCCACTAATAAGTTAGTGAGACAAGAACAACCTATCCTGAAGCCGTGCTGCTTCTCCGAAAGGATCCGGTTTTTATGGAGATACTTAAACAGCTCCTTCCGAATAATCTTTTCTAATATTTTAACAACCACACTAGTTAAGCTAACGAGGCGGTAGTTCTCAGGTTTGTGTTTCGTGCCTGTTTTGAAGACAGGACTTACTATGGCGTTTTTCCAATCTTTCGGTAAGCGACCCTGCGTAACGGATAGGTTAAAGCATGTACTTAAAGAGCTTGCAACGAAGTTAGATAATTCCTTCAGTAGCCTAGGATGTAATTCATCGGGCCCCGTGGATTTACCTATATCAAGCTTATTTAGCAGACCAAAGACATCGAGTTCTTTAATGGTCATGCTATCCAGTGTATGTATGGGGGGATCTGTATTCGCTGACGAGAAGGGCGCTTCTATGGTATACACGTTGCTAAAGTAGTTCGAGAACGCTTGAGCCTTACCAAAGTCGTCCTCCACTAATGATGAAGCAGTACTGTCTCCCCATAGAGCAGGAATATTTCCTTTTCTCCTTGTCCTTTGGTTTATATAGGAATACAAGCGTTTAGGACATTCTATGGATTCCTTTACAAGTTTTTCTTCGTACAATTTTCTAGACTTACGGAGGGTCGAGGTACAAGTGTTCCGAGCCTTTCGATACTGAGATTTTGACTCATCAGTCCCCAGTCACCTAAATCTATCCCCGGTTTTCCTTTTCTTACGGAGGAGGATACGGATCTCCCTACTGAACCATGGTAGTGAGTTTTTCGGCCCCTTTGGTATAGTCCAAGGGATGTGAGGTGTGCTAACTTTTAAGTATGAATTTCGAAATGCGTCCCAGGCCGTTTCAATGGAGGACTCTGGGTCTATTGTCCAATCTATTAACGATGCTGAGTGCATGATGTCTGGTATGTTTGCTTTTCAGACGTTGGGTCTGGACTGGACTGACGCGTCCTCATGACTGGCAGTTATATGGAAGTCGGAAGTTAAAACTGTGTGATCACTTTTACCTAAGGGTGGCATATGATGGAGGTTCGCAACATCATCCTCATAGTGAGTCAGTATAAGATCTAATAAGGATGATTCAGTGTCCGGATCGTACCTTGTCGCTTCTTTCACATGTTGCACTAGAGCACATGTGATAATCCCATCAACTAGTTCCTGCTCGAAAGAATTCTCCGACGATTTAGTTCGCAGATTTTCCCAGTCTACCATAGGTGCATTAAAGTCCCCTATGATTAGACATCGACCACTTTGGGACCATGTATTGAGACTGCTTAACAGGATCCTATTTGCCTCATAGCTTGGACTGCGATAGACCAAACCAATCAGCAGCTCTTGTCCCTTGCATTTTAAGAGAAGACTAACTAATTCACACGTCTCACTCTCATGGGATACACTATCGATAATGGTAAATGGAATAGCATTCCTAATGAATAGAGCTACCCCCCTCCTTTGCGCTTTTGTGTTCTGTCGGCCCTTACTAACGTAAAGCCCTCGAAATCAAGTTCTATACTATCTATAGCCTGTGTCAGCCAGGTTTCTGTTACTGCGATTATAACTGGCTTTGTAGAGTCAATCTGTACACCTAGTTCCGATCGCTTATTAAGTAAGCTTCGTGCATTGGTGTAACAGATCCGAAGCCTCTTTAAGTGCCTTCGTGCTTCACCCAGAGTGGCTTCGGCATCATTCTCTGTCGAAGTCTTACAACCCGAAAATTTACAATTTTCAGGTCCTTTTCGCTAGCGTCTAACCTAAGTTGTAGTTCTTTTTCGGCTTCCCGTCTTTAACACGGTCTGCCAACGTAGGTCCTTTCGGATAAATACTCCTGATCCCTTTAATTTGTGTCTATTTTGTAAAATTAAGTCACGTTCGTTCGAAGAGCCGAATACTACTTTAAGCAGTCTGGAATGATTCGGTTTCGAGTCCGTTAGACTCTCTAGTTTGTACACCTTTAGCAAGATGACCCCGGTCATATTTTGAGGCATGAGTTGATTAAGCAGCTGCCTAATCAGTACAATGTCATGCTCAAAATGAGCTTTAGGTTCAGAGCTATCGCTCTCCTTGATTCTATGAAAAATAGCTGATCTGTCGCTATGATCAGCTTTCGATTTTTTAATCACTTTTACGATGGCAGGTTTCCTTTTTATATCCCTATTTTTCTTCCTTACAACCTTTACCCATTCGTCAGCGGCGCTAGTAGAAGCAATAACAGTTGCGTCAAACCTAGTCTTGGGTTTTGGGGGGTTGTAGACGGCCCGAGAGGTCGTGTTATGTTTACCGTTTGAAACCGATCGAGCCTTGCGATTGCGGCTTCTAGATGTTTCCTGTTGGATCCCATCTGGGAGACGAGGAACAGAAGACCCTACTTTTCTTGAGCTTTTGTTTAAGACAGGCCTCTTTGGAGACCGCTTTTCCTTCTTTGACGGGCGTGAGTCATCTATCACCGGACTAACCTTAGTTTCCTTCACGTTGATTTGCGTGTCGACAGATCGAGTGCTGTTTGACGCGTTCCGACTATGCTTGCTAAAACACTTCTTTGCAGCATCAACCAGTGAGATGGCCTCGGTTAGCAAGCTGTTTGCATCCGAGCAGCACTGTTGACAAGACCACACACAACCCTTCTTACTGAACCGTTTGAAAGCAGCAGGCGTTAAGTTCGTGCAAACTTCGTGGTACCAGCCTTTGCATTCGTCGCACTGCATGCCGCTTTCAACAGGATAACGACAATACGGACGTTGACAACTGCTTTCTTTACACTGTCCGGTCACTTAGGAGGGTTTTTTTAAACTGTGATGATACTCAGAAACAAAAAAAATCTATCAATGACCAAAAGTGAAGAGCTGTAGATTGCTAGGACCAAAAGTACTAACAGATACAGTTGAAAAAGAGGTACTCAAGAGTACCAACGACAAAACAGTAAAAACGATACTTCAGTCGAATACTTTAACTGAAATAAATTCAATTAACGTGAAAACAGTAGTCTTGATACGTAATAAACGATCAAAACAAACAAATTTACTCAGCGAGGAAAAATACCACTGTCCTTTTTAAATAGCGCACTCAGTGGATCACCAATACTTCCAGGCAGGAACCTAGGTACATTATCGATGAAAGAGGAAGACGAAAAAAATAGTAAATCATAGTAAGATACTATCCTTAGTCCTTAACATATACAGATTCAGATTTGTGTAGTAAGGACAGAAGGCCTACGGCCTATGTTATTCCTTTTCTAGATTGCTTCTGTGAGTGTCCAGTCTTCTCTTGAAAGAGTCAGTTGAAGGTTCAGACATCACTGCTTCGGGCGGCAGGTTCCAAGTATTGATGAATCAGTGTGAAAATCTAATTGTCATGGGTATTTTGTTCGTTCTTGTAAGATACTGGGCCCTAACGAGTTACATCCACGGCTACAGTCATCTCTTGCGGTTATTATTTCAAAAACGCT